TTCAGCTCTAACACCCTTGCAGTAATTTTAGTGTAATTTCCTGAAATTTCTCTTGTAAACTACAAGTCTGACCTGAAGTAGTCTATTAGTCCTCATCTGAGTCACAACTTTTAGAATCACAACACAGTCATTTACAACCTGAGCTAATGCAATAAATGGCAGGAGAAGAAACTGAGAAAGTGAGAGATGGAAATTACTTTTACAAGTCATCTAGTTCATTTCCCCTAGGGACATCTTTCACTATCAATTTGCTCAAAGCCTCATTCAACCTGATCTTCAACACTTCCAATGATGGGCCACTCATAACTCCTCTGGGCAACCTGTTCCAGTGTCTCATTACTGTAATTGTAAAAAATTCCTCATGTCCAAGTTAAATCTATCACTATAAAACCACTGCCCCTTGTACTGCCTCTAAGACCTTGGTAAAAAGTCTGATCTGCTAAAGCAAATTGCTTAAAGCTATGTTCACTAGGGAGGTTCAGCCCCAGCCTCCACCCTCTTTCTTGAACACCCTTCCTCCACTTTACCTTCTCCCTGATATTTTGGGAGCAAGAGCAAGATTATGGTGAGTACAGGTAAGAAGTGGATATAATTACAGCAGGTGAGGGAGGAAAATGCAGATACCTAAACTGGCTAGCTAAGGCAGGATGAGAAGCAGTGCAGGTCAGCACTAAGTAGAGGCAAGAATAACTGTACTTGCTCTGAGCAATGCAGACACAGCCAGTCATTACAAGCCAGCCTGGAAAACAGTAAAATTTTGCATGGTGTGGATGTTCTCCATGCAGTGTCCTGAAAACAATGAAAATGGATATTTCCTCAATGAGACTGAAGATGTTTCAAACAGTATAAATTGCCCATCTGCTCTCTGAGCAAACTCAGAGCATGGTTTAGATTCATGGAATATTCCTAAAATGTGTGTGAAAATTTGCTAACAAAACTCTACTGAGGATGTGTAAATTAAGACTATTCAAATAATTATAGGTTAGCCAAAACTGAACAAGTTTTCAAGGGGAAGTAAATGATCCATCCTTAAAACTCAAAACATCCCTGTCTCATATAGCAAGTCCCTGCTCCAAAGACTGTACTCATGATCATCATTGTCATGGCAACAAGAGTAAGATGATGTGTAAAACTTCTCTTCTGTGAAACTGAAACTTAAAAAGAACAAATCCAGCTCTGGTCAGACAAGGAAATTTCAACCCAAGTAGTTTAATTCCAGCAAAGTTAAAAGCAAGTTTTAAAAAATCACCTTATCATAGAAAATGTCCGAATTTTCTCATTATATGGTAAGAAATACATAATAATTACTCGTCATATGGTGATAAATACAATGCTGCTAACATCAAAAGAGCTTCAGCTATCTGTATCAATTTCTGCAGTCTGCAACTAAATGACAATAATTTTTTTCATGCTGTACAAAACACTAATAATTTTCTTCCACTTTTTAAATCACAGTGCAGAATTTAATATTGTATTATTTGTTATTTATTGCATCTTACTGTTTGTAGCACCTTGGGTACAAATTTGGGTCAAAGAGAATCACTGGCTCCAAAAGGACAGATTATGTTTGCAGAGTCTGTGATGGAAAAAGAGTAACAGAAGTGAAAGGCAAGATGAAATCAGAATGGAAAGGAAGAAAAATAAATTTGAATTAGAATGAATTTGTATGCCTCAGAGACATCACAGGAGATGAAAATATGCAACATAAGAAGGGAAGATAACTTAGTCTGGAGTATTTAAAATTTCTTTTGCATTTATCAAATAACTTCATTTTAAAAAAAAAGTGGATTAGTTTATATCAACACATTTACATTCAAGATTATTTTCATCCATTTGAATCGGTTCAAAGATGTACTTAAAATAGCCGAGGATCTCATGATACACTCTTAAGTCCTACATGAAATTGCATTCTCCTACTCCAAAAAGTTTATCTCTTTTTACTTCAAAAAACCCCAAAAAACCAACCCCCCCCCCCAAAAAAAACAACAAAAAACCCCAAACAAACAAACAAACAAACAAAAACAAAACCAGAACAAGTCACACAGAGGAACTTGCATCTCAATTACCCCGCTTGAACAAGTCTAAATTAACAGTAACTAAAAGGAACTCATAAAATTGTGAAAATAAGGCTAATACTCAGCTGATAAAAAGGTAGTTGTGTCCTCTTATTTTTCCTTACATTGAAATAATCTTTAGGATCTATGGAGTAAATCTTTGGCCATTATTTTTTAACTAACTGAAGAGCTTTCTTTGAGAGAGAGAGAAGTTACACAGTAATTTTTCCTCGGAATATATTAGCTTGAAAATGCATATAATTTCTTTTTTAAATAGAGGAGAAAAGGATGAGAGTTCTTTTTCCACTAATTTCCTTGACACTTTTGTCTTTGTGAGCTTATAGATCGATTTAATTATGAAGTAGCATTTCATTATTACCAAATTAAACAATTAATAAATAAAAAGGACTCCTTTTTATGGTACCCATCAAGCCTGTTGGCTTAGCAAATTTAATGAAATAGAATTAGCATCCTAAATAATTACAAATCAGTCACATAAATCAAAAATCTTTTAATGTTGTTTCAGGAAATAAAGTCATGTTGTACTTATAAATAGCAGCATGAGAAGCTTTACAGACAAAGTCCACCATAGCAAAAAAATCTGAGCATAGAAGCCTTGAGCCATTAATTCAGATTTCAGAGAGAGCATGACAATTATTTTGAAAACTGAAACAATACAATAGTAGATTGCTAATCTGAAGTCAGATTTCATACTTTCCCTTTAGTGTCATAAAGGTAGGCATTACCTGAAATAAGGTGAAGCTCATTTGATCTGAATTGTATATATGGGTGTTTAGAGCTTAAGAAATGATCAGTCATCACCAAAAAAATAAAAGAACAACAGATATACATTGCAAGGGAAAAAAACCCTAAATTCTATATCAAAGATCAAGTAGGATTTTTTGTTTAATTTTTATTTGCAGTATCAGTCACTGAATTCAAAGACAGGAATCAATTTATTAAATATAAAATATCCTTAAACTAGAAATATTCTCCTTGGAGTGCAGAATTGGCTATAATTTGAAGGCATAAAACAAGTGTAGAAAGTAGTCAAGACTGGCTTGAACCCCATGTGGCAATGATATTGTCAGGTAAATGGTATTTCAGTTCAGAATTTTCAGTTAATATTCCAGCATTTATTTGAAGGTTTTCAAGTAAAAAAACTTGATAATATCCAGTCTTGGCTGTGTATCCAGACACAGATAATAATGGCCATTTTAAAATCAGCTTGATTAAAGCTAAGTTTTCGAAACATAATATACATGATCTAACATTAGCTGTTAGGAAATGGGAAACAAATGTATGCACCTGTCTCATAAGCAGCATTTTTCAATGGTTCTGAAGCAACAGAAAATACTGGCAGAAATATTTTTCAAACAGTCTCTGTGAATCTCACCAGTGTCGAGTGAAATGTATCGATGAGAGTACTGGCAGTGAAACTAACCTTACACACTCTTTCTCAGTATCAGTGATAGGACCAGAACTAATACCACAGCTAAACTAAAATATATTCTAGAGGGCTCTAGGAAATAAAAGGTAGCTTAATGTCTCTTGCTTGAGGGAATGAGTGAAATCCTTACATTTAGCTGTCTCTACAATCTACTGTGTAAGTAATTTTGCAAAAGATGATATGAAGACAAGATTGGAAAATCGATGTAGTGCATTGGTATGCTGGTTTTGACTGGAGTAGAGTTGGTTTTTTTCACAGTGGTATTTTGGATTTGATAGTGTAGAGATGTTTTTGTTATTGCTGAGCAGGGCTTACACAGAGCCAAGGCCTTTGCTGCTTTTTGTAGTGCCTGGCTGGTGAGGAACTTGGGGGTGCGTGGGAGGTTGAGAGGAGACAGAGCCAGTGCAGTGACCCAAACTGACCAAAGGAATATTCCAGACCATGTGACATCATGCTCAGTGTGTAAAGTGGAGGGAAGAGGGAGGGAGGGGGGATGTCTGGAGTGACAGCATTTGCCTTCCCAAGTCACCAGCACGTGTGATGGGACCCTCCTCTCCTGGAGATGGCTCAACTCCTGCCTGCCCATAAGAAGAGATGACTTAATTCTTTACTTTGCTTGTGTGCACAGCTTTTGCTTTCCCTGTTAAACTGTCTATATCTCCACCCACGACATTTCCAGCTTTTACCCTTCCAATTCTCTCCCTGATCCCACTGGTGGGGGAGTGAGTGAGGGGCTGTGCAGGGCTTGGCAGCTGGCTGGGGTTAAACCATGATAATAGGGAATGATTTCAGGTTGATTTTTATGGAAACTAAGGGCAAAATGCTAATCTCCCTGACATCAGCAGTAAAATGCATATTTAATTCCAAAGAACCTTCACCTTTAGCTGAAGATTTTGTCCTCTGCAGCATGACTACAGTAATGAGCAGTAAAAATGTACATCTCACTTCTGTCTGTGTCAAATAGGAGACACCAAAACAGTGCAGATAAAGCTGCACTTCAGGTGAAGGGATAAATTTTTCCCTGATTTCTAGTGAACGTCTCAATTAAGGTTGATTCTAATGGCTCTTTGAATTGCATTCAAGTTCTGGGCAAAGTTTGCACACATTTAATGAAATTTCTGAGTTCTTTAAGTTATTCTACAGATAATAAAGCATTTTTGTTGCTACAGAAAATTCAGCAGCAACTCAAAGCTGAGAGACTCATTATAGGGTAATAAAACTCAAGAGATTATTATTTAAAACTCCTAATACCCAGACTCCTGGAAATCCAGGAAAGAGCAAACCAAGTGCAGGTTTGACACTTGCTCAAGTATGGCTTTTCAGTCATAGATTAGATCCAAGCACTCTAAAAAGGAATTATTAAATTTCAAATCTAAAAACTATAAAATTTACCTTAAAGTGTAATTTAAAAACTTGAGCTAAAATGTACTACAGTACTATGACCCTACAGAATAGGAATACATTATGGAACTAATGTATTCCACATGTTTACAGTATTTTCTTTTTCAAATTAAAAAAAACCCAAAAACTGAAAAGACCTAAAAGCAAACAAAAAAAATATCATACTTTCAGGTTTTTGAGGTAGAGGTAATTTCTGAAGAATTTGCCAAGATGTTCTGCAGGTTTTTTTGCTGGTGCTGCACTTTAGCAACAGAAGCAAAAATTATTCTTCAACAGTTTAGTGGAAAATCAATTATAAATTATGTGAGGTACCTCCAAAATTTTCCACAGGAATGGGAACATATCCATTCATTTTCTGTAAAACAAAATGGAAAAGTTTCCTGCAAATTTCTTCCAATTTTTCACCTCAATTTTTAACTAGACTCCATGATATTCTTATTTCATTTGGGCTTAAGATATGTTTTAACGAGACATTTTTGTTTGGTTTTCATGTGATTTCCCATTTCACTTAGGTGGCAATTTTACTTAAGTAATGCACATGAAATCTATTACCTTCAGTCTTCCTGAAACTGAGTTATCCTTCACAGTGAATACCACAGAGATTTTGGATATCTGGACAACACAGATTGCTTGAATAGTCATTCAAAAAGACAAAAAAAATAAATTTCATGTAGTGTTTGTTGGGCTTTTGATGTGTGATGAAGGCCAGAAAGAGGCAGGTAAGAATTTTGCATTTCAAATTGCCAGAGAAGTAGAAATGTCTGGAAATATGGAATAAACCTATGTGCTTTGTCTGCCTGAAGAAATGGTACTCCTTCAGGTAATCTCAATATCTATTTGATGAACATTCACACCCTGCTTCAAATAAATAAAAATCAGTTTTGGTTGTAATTGGAGTCCATATAATAATTTAAAAAAAAATTAAATTACTTTCTGCTTAAAAATAAGCTTCCATTTTTATAATTAAAAAAAAAAGGCAAGTAACCCAAAGAAACAAACAAAAAAGAAAGATTTATTATTAAAAAGCCCCACTTTTTTCACACAGGAATGCAAAGGAACATTTAAAATACAAAACAGGAGCAAATTAGAGCCCTTCCTCCTCTCCATTGATCAAACATAGGTTTAGATTTTGTATGTCATAGACATGAAACAAGCAAAAATCCATGCAGCTTATATGCCAAATGGCTTCATATTTCGAAAATTAAGCATTTGCCTTGACAGGTCATTCACTTCAAGTGTCAAGAAAAGGAAAGAATTTTTCTGGTGCTTAACATAATTGATTCAAAAGCAATACACCAAATCTTAGGAAAATCAGCCTGCATTCTAGGCCATGAGACCAGCACGACCTTCCCAGGTGGTAGCCCACTCTTACAGCTTCCAGGCTTCAGAGACTGAAGAGAACATCAGCTGTCACAGTCAGCTCACTGCCTCCACTAGCAAAAGTTAACAGAACTCAGGTTTCATTTACTGCACCTGTTCCTTGTCTGGTGTAAAAATGGTGCTTTTCAATGCCATCTTCAAAGCTCATTGTTTTTTGAATACTTACACTTTGGGGGACTTCAGTACTATTCTTCCAACACATGTATCTTAATTCTTGTTTTGAAGAGAACAAAAGTCAGGGATCTGCCTTTCTTCAGAAATTTTTGAAAAAGTTAAAAAATAAAGAAGAAGCTCTTATTAACTCCAGACAGAATAAAAACAATCTTTTCGCCTAGACGTCTCAAAATGATGTTATGCCTTAAAGTTCCTTCTCCAGATCATCTTTAATAGTCCACCTTTTCTATTCTTACATGTTCCCAAATCCTTGATCCAGGCCCACATCATCTCATCTACGGATTCGCATTATCCAATAGCGTCCTGCTAAAAATTTATCAGATCTACACTACTTGCTTTTGCTGTCTATATATAGTTAGGGTACTGTGTTAGTTACACCTGGGGAAAGACAGACTCAAACAATTTTTTCTCTATGAAAACTTCCTTTGTGAGTTGATGGGACCAACTAAAGGCTGGCTTGGTTATTGACAGCCTGAGAAACCAATTGGAGAAGTTAGTTCGCTCAGTGAACACACATTTTGAAGGAGGTAACCCGGGAAAAAGCTCTCTTTTATTTCCGGTGGCTGAGCAGGTCACAGCGGCCCGGGCTCCCTCCCTTGGGGGGCTCAGAGGCCGCTGGGCCCCGTTTGCAAACCAGGGGACCCGATGGCCGTGGGGAGGAAAGGCTCAGTGATAAAACCTCAGCCCTGCTCCCTCCCCCGCGGGCCCGCGGCTCTGGGGGCTCCGGCTCCTGCTGCTGCCTCGGAGCAGCTTTGGAGGGGCCGAGCCCGCCCAGCCCCGCACGGCCTGGGGGAGGCAGCCGGGCCTGTGTGGGGAGCAGGGGGGGCCATGGGCAGTGGGGGCTGGAGCTGAGCCCCAGAAAGGCTGATGGAGATCTCAGCCATCCCTCACCCAGCGCGGCCTGGGCCTGGCCCAGCTCCTGTAATTCCTGTATAAAACTCTTTAGTGCTCGGATAAGACTTACAGACCTCCAATTTTCCTTTGAATAAAAAGCAAAAACAGAAAAGATACAAAATCAGTGAAGCAAAAGCTACATTCTTTAGGTGAGAGGAGAATGAGGAGATGCTGTGAAGACAGCTGAAAATATTTTTAAAAGTTGTAAGGTGGACTGTACTGCACTGATTATTCCTGTAAACCATGGATTGGAGTGTTCCATGTGATAGATCATTTAACCAAAAACACCTATATTGAGAGTCTTTTGTCCCGAGGAAAGAGGGGATCTCGGTTTTCTAAAGATAAAGCATGAACAGAGAGAAAAGAGATAAAGAAAACTTTTACTTAGGAGCAGTTCATTCTTAGAAGTAATACCCCATGAGTTTGACATGGCCTACAAGCACAGCTCTGGGAAGGCTGTAAAGTTAATTGCAGGTTCCTGGGCGGCTGCTATTCGTGAAAATAAAAGAAAACTGTTTATTTCCTTGGAGAAGAAATCCCTATAGCCAAACAAGAGGAAGCTCCTCTCTCTGAAGTAAACTGAATAAAATTATTTAAGTGGGTAACTGACTGAAGTGTCTTTGTATGTTGTTGTTAAGAAGGAATGGAAAGAGGAAGGAAGGAGTAGTCTGAAGATCTTATTCTGAATTTACCATTTTATTTTTTCTTTGTGTAGTAAATAAATTTCTTTTTATACCCTTTTAAGTTTTAAGCCTGCCTTGCTTTTACTCCTGGTTCTGTATCACAACAGAAAAACAAGTATATTTAAATTGGCAAATCAAAACTATAACATTATTTAGTGCATTGGCTGAAAAATTCAAATTTACTAAGACAGGTATATAAACTGGTATGTTCAGAGACTGACTTAGCCCAGCCCAGAACAGAGGTCTCAGATAGCAAAGACACATGCAGAGCCTGGATGTGAAGATCTGGACTCAAGCCCAGGCAAAGGTTATGCCTGTGTTCTGGGGCTGAGCAAACAGATTAGCATTATTCATACAGATTAGAAAGAAGGCAAAAGGGATTAACAGGGGAAAGATTAAGTTTTCATTTATCCATATCAGATTTGAGGTAACATCTGGAAATAGGTAGAGAGAGACAGTAATTGAAGTCAGTATAGTGAAGCACACTTTAAAATATCTACTTGGAGTGTGACCTTAACTCTGTTTAAGCCTGGCACTATTTTGCAAATTCAATGTTTATTTTCATCTAAAAATCAAGTGGAGGTATTATAATAAGTATGATCACTATCCAAAGGACAACCACTACAACCCAACTCCTTTCCTGCATTGCTTTTCTATTGATGTCCAATGCCCTTTTTGACACCTATAAAACAAATTCATATGGCTTTCAGGAAAACAATGTTTTGGTTCTCTGCTAGGCAACAATATACATGGTTTCTCCTAATGGTTTTCTTTTTATTTAATCACTGTCACTGGCATGTCTCCTGTGTCCTACCACTGAAAATGTGTCATTAAGCTGGAAAAGGTCAACCATAAAGTAAAATTTTAAATTAAGCATGGTTCAGTTATATTATTCTATAAAAAAAATTGTGAGAGACATTCAGCACACTGAAGACCTATCTAACCTTTCTTTTATCTTTCCTTTTCACAAAACTCTCACAGTCTGGTGTGTCCCAGAGGGTCTCTGTTACAGTTTCTGTGTTTATTGCACTCCTAATCCATTGTGTCTCCTTCCGTGGTCCTAGTTAAGTCTCAAAACCCTGAAATGACACACTATTTCGATAACAAGACATTTATTTTCCCTCCATCGAGGAGGAGATTGAGCCAGTGGGTCTTTGAGATGATCTATGCAAGACTGACCTCATGGAGGAACTTTTACCCGTGTTCTCCCTGGGGCAACATCAGGACTAGTAAGTGCAGAATCATCTGTAAGGTGTTAATCATCTACACAGAACAATAAAAGCTTCAGAGACAACAATTCATGAAACAATGAAGATCGTCTGTGCAGATCTATTTTTTCCAGCAGCCAATCATCTTCTACATGGGGAACCCAGAATGAAGTGTCAGAGAGTCTTTTTAAATTCAGGCCTTTCCACCTCTCTCTTTGTTTAAATCAGAGCCTTGTTCTATACTGGAATATACAATATTGCATCCACAAGTGTTGGTACAGACAGTTGTAAGAACATGATCTGCTGGACCTCTTTAATCTAATCAGATCAGCATGAGTTACTTCTCAGAGTAAAAATATTATGGATCAGCCTTGTCACCTGAGGTTAATCACCCTGAAAACCTCCCTGAGTCCATGAACTTTCCCCAGTAACCTTAGTATCAGTAGAAAATGTTCCTTTACCACCATTTTTACGCAAGAAGATAGTTCCTGGAAATCTCAGAAATATTTGCTAAGCTTTACAGAATTAGTATGATGCTCTTCAAAAGTCCTGCTTTCAAATAAAAGTGAAGCAATGATTTTTGCTTCATTTTTCAGTATATAAAGCTCCATGAACTACGAGACAAAGCCTTATTCTAGAATAGCTTCATTACTAGAAGAATTTTGCTAAAATTACTTTATCAATATATCAAGTTATAATTGCTAATTTATTATAGTATACACTTAAGTTTTTGCCTAGAAAATCTGAATTTGGAATGCTGTGTAGGATGTTAATTCATGATTTTTCATAGACTCTGTATTGGACATACCTCTGTCTGAATTTATCCCCAAACAAGCAAATGAGAACCTGAAGGGTTATGCAGAATATCTCCCCTGAAATCGAGAGAGTTTTGTGTAAGCACTGAGTTACTTATTTATTCTTCACTCAAGAATGTATTTCTTTTGTTTTCAAGTGGAAGGCATGTTACAGGTGACTTTTTGACCATTGTCCATAAGGCTAACACTCTTTCAGCTTCTCAGCTTCTTGAAGTGAGGGGAATTCTAGCCTTCCATTTATGTGACAGTGATGATTATTGCTTAATTACCCAATTTATCAAACAATAACTGCAGACAGCCTTAAAAGAGGCAAATTCTAACCCATCCCCAAATTATATACTCATCATAATGCCCATCATTGCAAATTATATCCTATCAATTTTTGCATGAAATGGAAACCAAATCCAGCGGTATTCTCCTGGCAAAATAGGTAGGTAGAGATGTTTCCAAGTAATTTTTTGCCCCCAACATTTACATTATCTTTTAATTCTTCCATCAGCTAGTTACAAGGACCAAACTTAAAATGGTTTTGTTCTGAATTAGCTACCAAAATCAGAGTTCCCAAGTTCTGCCTCCTGTTCCTTGACCCATGAGCTGGAGTATTGATACTTGGTTCACCGAGCACTTTGTTTCTTTGTCTCTGATCCTGCCACCTCAAACTTTTTACCTGAAGGCCACTTCGTGTAAGGAAAGGCTCAGTCTTCTCCTCCACATCCCTACCTCTTCTGACTGCAGTCAAAATTGTTTTTATGGCAACTTTGATAAAAATTAATTCATAATTTTCATATCACTCAGCTATTCATTCAGCTATTCATATCTGGTATAGCCAAAAAAAACCACAGAAAGGTAGGAAAGGAAGGATGCTAGATAAATGCTCTAAAAAAGTATCACAGCTCCAAAGCAAACACTAATTGTCTTTAATCAGCTTCCAAGAAGCATTATAGAACTCTTTTAGTCATTAAGCACGTCTATTCCTAGATACAAGAACTACCATTCTAACAGAGCCTGATACCATGTGAAATGGGACTTCTCCATAAAATATTTAATAAACCCTACAAAAGTAGAATAGCTGATAATGGACTGCCTCTGAAAATCTATGAAAGAAGGATTTAGTCATTAGATTTCATTGCTTCCTGACTTCCAAAACAGATTACTCAAACAACATAGCCTACTTTTTTCATTTATTTGCAAAAATAATTATTTTCATGACATTGAGATGAAGAGGTTTCAATTCTCCTTGAAACTCCTGAAATGTCTATGTGGATAAAGAATTACTGTAATTATAAATACCTATGTAGCATTTAAATATTGCCTCTGTTACTTATACCTTCATCCTTCATGAATTATTATATGTAAAAATCTCTTCCATATAAGCTAGATATTGAAAAAAATCTTTTTCTAGATAGACAGACTCTCTAAGGCAACTTCTGCTTACTTTATTCATCCCAAAGAAAGAAATGTAATAAAAATTCCAGCA